GACAGGGACAGACGCTCAGGACCCGGACTGACCCACACGCTGGGAACCCAGGCGGGCGAGGGACAGGGCAAACTCCGGGCCTCAGCACCTGCCTCACGGCGCTGTGCACCCCAATTCAGGCCGAGCAGGCGCCCGGGGCCTTGCGCAGGGGCACGCAGGGCTCAGCAGCCCTGACGCTGGCCGGCCCACCCCGTCTGGGGGAAGACAACGTCCCGCGCCTCTCTCAGATAAACACACCGCTGGCAGGATGAGAGGCAGCCGGAGGCACTCACCGAGCACGAGGATGGGGCACTGCGGGCTGCAGCTGCGCTCCCTCTCGGCGCGGATGGGGCACCACGAGCCGTCCACCAAGTACTCAATCTCGTCGGCGTCCTGACACTCGCTCAGAATCTTGGAGAGGAGCCTGGAGGGGTGGGCGGGCTGATTCCTGGGGCCGCGCACCTTGCTCCCTCCCTGCGCCCCGGACTGGGGCAGGCGGCTTCTTCCGCACCTGCCAGGGCCTGGTGACCACACTTAGGGACCATGTGGGTCCTCGGGGAGGGGCTGCGGCGGTCTCACAGTGGGCTGACAGCGCCTTCCCCCAGCAACGGGAGGCCACGGGGCCTGGGGGTTGCGGGGGTCCTGCCCACCGGCCCAAGCTGAGCTGCCCTGCTCTCCACTCTTGATTCCTTCATCTGTCTGCTCAGATATGGCAACGGGGGCTTGGAGGAGAAGCATGTGCAAAGTTCCCCGGCTACGGGGAGAAGCTCGAGCAGAAGTGGGGCCACCTTGCTCTCGTAGTCAACAGCATCCCGAGAGCACCCGGGTTCCCAGGGGTAGCGGGCTCTCCATCTTTGCCCTGACCCGTAGCACCACGCTGCAGAGGGACCACAATCAGCCCCACTTTTCAGGTGGAGAAACTGAGGCCCGCTGAGCCAGCACGGTCTCTGAGGGCACAGTCAGGGCCTGCTTCTGCCTGTCTCCTGCCTGCAGGCTGGAGCAGGTAACTGAGGGGCAGCACCGCCCACGCCAGGCCCCGCCCCAGCATCTGTGCAGCACCCAAGCTGCGCCTGCCTCTAGGTGCCTTCCACTTCCTCAATCAAGGTCACTGAGGACTGAGGCCCACTACTCCCGACACCCTGTAGGGCCAACAGATGCCTCCACCTGCACCCTGAGCCCCTCTCCCCCCATCCTGCCCACAGATCACCACCCCAGGCCACTCTGGCGTAGACACAGCTCCGCCAGTAACGCACCTCTCCAGGAAAACACCTTCTCACCCTCCACAGCCCCACCTGACAGTTCCTCTTCTTCCAGAGCTGCCCCAGCAATAAGCAGTGTGTCTGTCTCTGCTCCTTCCCACCCCCCAACCCCATGTCCTAAACGAGCGATCCCTAAGGCTGGATGATCCTTGGATCACTCGAACTCAGGGTCAGGGCCCTCCAAGAGTCAATGTTTAAATGAAGGCTTCCTCTTCCAGGAAGCTCCCCAGCAATGCCCAGACCCTGCTGGCTGCTGGGATCAAAGCCTGTGTGGGCCACAGCTACACCCCCAATCTCAGTCCTGCCAGCCCCTAGAGCTGTCAGGGCTGTTGGCACCCCGAGCGCGAGCGACCCGCTCTAGGCCCGTGGTGGAGGCGGGCATTGGCTGCCCAGCTGCCAGGTCCGACACAGAGCCCTCATTCAGGACCAGCCCTTGCCCCCTGGCCCTGGAGGCCTTCTCACTCCGCCCCAAGGCTGGACAGCATGGGGGTGTCAGCTTGCCCCTTTGAGAGGGGACCCTGGCTCAGAGCTGCCTGAACTTGGCCATCTGCAAGCCGGGGGACCTCTGGGCTGGCAGCTGCCTGCTTCGAGCTTCAGTGTCCTCATCTGTAACATGGACAATTAAGGCCCCATCTCCTGGGACATTTGGGAGGGCTAGCTGGCAAGAGCTGGGCTTGAGGAATTTGAACATGGGGACCGAAGCTGTGGCACAGGCTCACACGGCACTGAACGACGGCGCTGCTCCCCTCACCCGCATCTTGGCCATGGACAGGCTGATGGCAGCCTGTGGTGGCTGTTCAGGGCAAGGCTGCTGGCATCTGCCCTGAACACGCCTTTCTGCGGCATCCATGCCCCAGCCCCTCCACCCTGTGGCTCTGGGGACAGAAGGTAGATGTGCCGGCGCCTGGCAGGAACTGTCAGTCAGGTGCTAGGCTCAGTTTCTGGAAACCTGAGACTTGAGCAGCTCCCTGTTGGGAGAAGGGACCTTTCCCCCTCTCCCCCTGTGGAGTGGGGAGGGCAGGGGGACAGACTGGCAGCACGCTGCTGACTCCAAGGGAGAGGAAGACCTTGGGCAGCAGTGACTCTTTCTGTGCTGTGCTGAGCCCACCGGAGAAGCCGCTGTCTGAATCAGGCGGGGGTTCTTGAGTCCTTCTACGTGGATGACCACAGGTCATCCAAACCAAACGTTTCAGTTTCTGGACCCTGGCGGCAAAGGCCCTGAGAAGTCCTGCAGGAGAACTGCCCCCCCCCCGCCTCCCCCCACAGCCCAGGCTGCAGCAGCTCCTGGGGCAAGTCAGGCCGCAGAGGCCCCACAGCTCGGCTCCTCACTCCAGACAGGCTTGGCAGGGCGGTGGGGAGAGGGTGAGCCCTGCAGCCCAGCAGGAGGCGCCCTGCAGAGCCACTCACCCATCGATGATGAGCTGGTCATAGGGAGCCGGCTTGTCACACACGGGGCACATCCAGGTGGGCTTCTTCTCGTTCATCTGGAGGTAGAAGACGGCGTCGAAGCACTGCAGGTGTGCACAGGTCTCCGCCCGGCAGGGCACCGAAAGCCGCATCTTCACCAGCTGAGGCAGGAGGGGAGAGGCGTGAGCAGGCCCTGCCCAGCCCAGCCTGCCCCAGATGTCCCCACACAACAGGCAGGGAAGAAGGGGGCCCGGCGACTCACCGGGCAGATGAGGGAGACACGCACGCCGGTGGTGGCGATCTCGCTGTCAGGATCCAGGCGCAGCTTCTCTTTGACTGTGGAGAAGGGGGTGGGGCTGGAGGACGGGACCAGGCCCTGGGGACTGGGCTCAGCAGGGGCTCTCCCAGCACCCCTGCTCCAGAGGGCAAGTGGGTCACACAGGTAGGTCCCTGAGCCCCAGGGCCCAGGCGCACCAGATCTGCCCATGGAAAAGCCCTGAGCAGCAACTCCTGATTACCGGTACTTCCTGGGCACGCCACCAGGGCAGTCCAACCTCCCACCAGTCACCCTGCTGGGGATGTTGAGACATGTCTGTAAAGATTCAGGTAACACAGGTCATCCCCTGTGACTTAATTTCCCTGAGAAGTCAGCAAGAGTGACAGGGGCTGCCTCCACACAGTTCCGGGGCTCCAGGCCCGCACAGACAGGAGGCGTCAGAGCCCTCTGCTCCCACAGCCCACCGGGAGTGCCCACCGCGCACCCTGCAAAGGCAGCAGCCCACCCCACCCGTATGCTTCCCTGCACAGGTGTGTCTCCCTGAACATGGGCGTGGCGGCGCCCCAACAAAGCCACGCGCCCCTAGCCTGGGAGGCCGCCCCACCTGAGAAGGCACGAAAGACAGGAAGGAACCACAGCTAGCAGGCCCCCGAGACAGCCTGCGGGGGCTACTGGGCCTCCCTCCCAGCTTCCTAGGCTTTCTGCTTTCAGAGTGGCGGGGAGATGGGCCCACACACCCAGAGGCACACTCAGCCAAACTGTACCCCCGACTCAGCCTGTGGACTGCGGGGAGCCTGGCACCTGGAGCTACCCCTCCCGACTGGGACCTCGGCCGCCTGAGGACACCTGTCCCCTCTTCCGGGGGGCTCCTCCCTCCCTCCCTCACCTCGCCGCACTATGGTCACATCAGTCATTCAAGTTTCAGGATGAACTTCCACCCAGTGCTCCCCACCCCTCAAAAACACCCCGGGCAGCCGAGAACTGATGCTTTACGCCAGGCCTCACTCTCCCGGCAGGGAGGTGTGCACGGCAGGGGCGAGTGAGAAGAGCAGTAAAGGCAGCCGCAAGGGGCTGGCTTTGGCGGGGAAGCCCGACTACCCGGCCCAGCAGGGCTTCGACTGTCACCTACAGCCCCGTGTCACAGGTTCCAGTCCTCAGGCCTTGGTGCCTGACTGGTCGAGGTCACGCAGAGTTAAGCTGTCTGCCACAAGCCCTAGCCCCACCCTACGGCCTCATCCCTTGCCTCTCCTGGTCAAGCTGGCCATTGTCCCCACAGGAGATGGGGAGACGGGGAAGAGTTGAAGAAAGGGCCCTTTGAAGGAAGGAGGCGGCGGCCGAGCACACGGGTGGAGGCCCTGGGGTCCGCCAGTGTCCCCACCCAGTCAAACGGGGACATCACCAGCCTGCAGCCCCCATGGCTGCTGTGAGCATCAAGTCAGATGTCACTCCCAAGGGTCCCCCGTGGCCCAGTGGCCAGTGGCTCGCCCGAGACACACAGCTGAGCACCTACCACATGTGGGCCGCCCCCTGCCCTGCGCTGGGACAGGAGCTGCTGGTCTTGACCATTCACTTAAAAACTCTTCTGGGACTGCCCCCCTTTCCTTGGTTGTTGAAAGTACAAAAAGGAGGGGCCTCCCCTGTGGCTCAGGGGTAAAAGTCTCAGTGCTACTGGGCTGTCACCAGCAGCTGCGGCCTGGGTTCGATCCCTGGCCAGGGAGTCCCCAAAAGGCACAGTAGTGCCTCGGCCACAGCTCCCCACCGTCTCTGGTGAATCCTCTCAATCCCTGCACTTTGGGCCTGCACCCCAGCTCTTGTACATGTAAATAACTCTTTTAAAAGAGCACTAAAGGGGGCCCTCTCTGGTGGTGCAACGGGTCAAAGCACAGCACTATGAAGCTGTCCGCAGCCCCTGCAGCACGAGTTTGATCCCCGGCCAGGGAGTGACCCACAGGGCACAGCAGACCTCTCCTCTGTTCTGCTCCCCAATCTGTCTCAGGAGAATCCTTCCCCCCCACACACACCTCTGGCTTGTACCCCATTTATTTATTTTAAGATAAATAAATCTTAAAAAAAAAAAAAGTACAAAAAGAAAACACAAATGGCCCGGGTGCCTCAGGTGGAACTTTTACCTTCGTCCTCACAGCTCCCACCATGGACTGTCCTTTGCGCTCAGCCTCCCGAGTTATCTGCCTGCAGCACCACCTGAGGGGCTGCACTGTCCAGCCCCTGCCTGACCCCGACCACAAGCACCCTGCGCAATGCCGCCCTCAGTCTGCATGGCCGAAGATTCTGCTGCGGGATTCCCTTCTCCCCACACCCTCGAGACCTCTGGGCTCCTGATCCCCAGGGTGATGAACAACCCCCAGCCAGCTCCCAGGAGGTCCTGGTCCCCAACTCTGGCCCTCCTGCCCTCCAGGGACAGCCGGCAGCCGGCCGCCGGCCGCCAGCACTCACCCAATGCCTTGCACAGCTCTGGGTGCTTGACCCCGATGGTTTTCAACCTCTGCAGCAGCTCCGAGGAGGTCAGCTGCCGCACCAGGTACAAGGCCACGGAGTAACTCTGGGAGCAGAGCAACGGGGGTGGGCGTCAGAGTCGGGCGGGCTGGAGGGGCAGCCGGCCGGCACCTGGCCCCGCCCACTCACCTTGCCGTAGTTGCCCCAGGTGACAGTGATGCGGTTGGTGGCTGAGGACAGGTACATGAGGTGGGTCAGGTTGATGGGGCGGCAGGGCCTTTTGGGCTCCACGCCGGGCTTATTCGACGGGTAGTAGCCCTGGAAGCACACGTGAGCTCAAGCCAGGGGCAAGGGCACAGATGGGGGTGCCAATGCTCCCCCCCAGCTGGGGCTGTCGGGGGCCCTGCTCACCGGGACCGAGCAGTAGCTATGGTTGACCTTCACTGCGATGTTGGGTGGATACTGGTCCTCCTGAGGGCCGCTGGTGTCCGAGTAGCAGATTCTGCAAGGACAACGGGACTGTGGGGCTCAAGGGGCTCTTGGCAGGAGAGGGGCCTGAACTGCGGGGGGACGCCAGACACGGGTCAGGGAGGGGCCACGTCGATGGTCCAGGCAGTGGTGACAGACATACGTCTGGCTGGAGCACCCACAGACAGGGCAGGCGCAGGAAGGAGGGAACAGCGCTCTACCCTGGCCAGGGAGTCGGAGGGGCTGAGAGGAGACAGTGACGGGGAGAGGCGTGGCAGGGCCACAGCTCCGGGGCAGGGGACACAGCCTCGGCCAGTAGTTCCGCGCTGGGCACAGCTGGGCTTACCTCAGGACAACCTGCACGGCCTTGATCCCGGGCTGCAGTTCTCTGAGCGCCGAAGGGGTCAGACGGAGGAAGGAGAGTCAGGTGGGCGCTCTGGCACCCCAGGCTGACCCGTGGGCCGGGACCATGGGGTGCACGCGCACCCCGCTAGCAACTCAAGGCTCACTGGGGTTTCAGATAAGTGAATTGCCCTCTCTCGGAAAAGGGGAGACTGGTGGAAACCTTAAGTGGGCTGGAGGGCGTGCGGCTGGCCTGCGCCGGCGTGGCAGCTCGGCTGATATCCGGCTTCACCGGAGTGGGGGGCCCTTCGGGGACACAGGGACTGGAGAGCGGCCCCAGCTCATCTGTCACATACAGCCCAGGGGCTGTCACCCGGTGACTCTTCCCCCGCCTCCTGGGAAACTGGGTGATGTCCAGGGAACTGGAGGTGTCCCAAGGAGGGGGATGCTGCTTACCACCCACACAGTGCAGGACAGCCCCCCCGAGGAGACCAGGCCCTGCCAGCAGCACCAGGACAGCCCTATTCAGGGGCTGACTGTGGTGAGCAGTGCTGCCCAGCCCGCGAGAGCAGGCATGAAGCATGGGTGGGCGGGCTGCCCTCTGCTCAGGCCAAACGCCCAGCGGCCTGGCACCACGCACCTGGAGTTCCGGATCAGCTCCACCTGCCTCGGTGTCAGCGCAAAGATGCACGGGCTCTCCTGGAGCTTCTCACTGTTCTGTGGGACTGCAGACAAACTCAAGGTCAGGCCCGCCAGGCCACCGGCGAGGGCATTTCTGCGTTTGGCCCTCTTGGAGGAGGGAAACAGAAAACGGGACCGAGGGGCGTGGTCCTCGGGGCTGCTCACTGTGGCCCAGATTCAAGGCCTCCAGAGTCGAGGTGTCTCTGCCAGGAGCCTGAGAACTGCTCACGGGCAAGGCGAGCAGACCTGGGCGACAGAGCTCGGGGACACCAACCAAAACCCTGTCCCGCCCTCACACAGCGGTTCTGGTGAGCTGGCGAGGCCGGGCCCACCTCCACAGCATGAGGCATGGGCCTTGCGTGAGTGAGTCCTTGAGTGGATGGCGACAGACCAGGAAGAGGTCCTGCCTCAGGCTCTCGGGGCCAGGCCAGCTGTGGAAAAGCAACAGCTGCCCGGGGGCTGGCTTCCCGTGGGGCGTGAGTGTGCCAGAGCCTTGCTCACCGCCCTGAAGACCTACGGGCACAGCAATGGGGGAATTCTGCAAGGGGCGGTGACTGAGGTGGTGAAAGTCAGCTCTTCACTCTCAGTGTTAACTGCAGAGAGTCGCAGGCGAGGTGAGACAACAGCCAAAGACGGGGTGGCTGCCACAGACCTGAGGCAAAACCATAGCTTCTGTTCAAGAAGGAAGAATGGTTCAAGAAGAGCTCTCCAGGAAAGTGAGTTAAAGCCCACGTTGTCCGAAGGAAGGAAGCTAAAGAACAAAAGTCTATGAAGAACGCTGGCAACACGGAGCAGCAGCCAGCCCAGGGCTCCGATCAGCCCAGTCGGACCGCGGCGAGGACACACAGCCCAAGAGAGCAAAGTGGGCGGTCTGCACAGCCTTGTCAGCGGAACAGGCCATAAGCAGCTTCAGGACACTCAACCTGACCACTGAGCTGAAATCGAGAAATTTCTGCCAAAATATCAAATCACAAAAACTGGCACCAAAAGAAAATGACACCTGAGAGCTCTTGGTGTTCAAGAAGCTGACTGAACGTTTGAAAACCTCTGCACAGTAAAAACAGCCAGTCTGAAGTAACGAATTTTCATCCCACCCGAGCTGGCTAAAACGCCCTCGGACCCACAGGAGACTGACACAGGGACTCAGAACCCAGGGCCCTGGGCCACTGCTCTCCCGGGGGTCACACCTCACTGTGACTGTGCGACCGGGGTGGGCGGGAGCAGGTGCACAACTGCCTATCTGTCAGCTGGCATCTGGGGGTGTAGGAGGTGTCTCAGGAATCCGGCCTCGGAGTGACTATACCGAGCTTGGTTTAACTTATACTACAGGGATGGGCAAACCATTCCTACAAGTGTGCGCGTTTGACTCTAGAGAGCCAAGTGGCCTTCACCCTGCCCCACGAGGGCAGCCGGGCAGGGGCACGGACCCCAGCTCCAGCACCCGCTGCAGCCAACGTGCCGCCAGTCCTCTCCCCCCCTCCCCGCCCCCAGTCTCCAAACCTGCTCTGGAACCTTCCAAGTCCAAACCACAACAGGTAACGTACTCAAGAATCGAACAGGAGCTCAACTTAAAGCCAGCTGGAGCGCAGAAATCAGATCACCTGGGCGCAGACCCCGGGGCCGCCAGGGCCCCGCGCCCCCTCCCCAGCCGGGACGCCCTAGGTGCTTATGTCCCATTGCTCAAGGTTCACATGCGGGGGCTCAGCGTGTGCTGGGAGCAGGCTGGTGTGACACCGCGGCTGCCACCATGTGTGCTTGTTTGTTGAGAGCCAGGCTGGTCCCTGTGGAGTCCTGGCAAGGCCCTTGAGGGCACACTCAAGCCTCCTGCAGACACGCCCGCCCTGCGCGCCTGTTTAAGGGAGGAGGGGAGGCAGTGCCTCAGCTGTCTGGGCTGAGGGAGAGATCGCATGCTGCTCGCCCCAGTCACAGCAGGCCAACACAAGACAGATGCCCCGCCCAGGGAGGCTGCCTGTATCTAGGTGAGGCTGCTGCTGGATGGGGGGGGGGGGGGGGGCGACTTTCTGCAGGGTCATCAGACTAGAGTGGCTAACCACAGCCCCAGTAGCCACCCGGCCACCAGGGTGGTGAGCTGCCACCACAGCTGGGCATACACCACTGGGAGGGGGGTTAGTGGGTCCCCCTTTGCCAGCTGCAAGAGGACAGTAACCACAATCCCCAAATCAACCCTGTCAGCTCAGCTGTCAAAGTGCACCCACAGCTTCCGTGGTGGCACAAGGGGTTAAGTCGCAGCACTACAAAGCTGTCCGCAGCCACTGCAGCACGACTTTCACCCCTGGCCAGGACCTGACCCACATGGCACAGACCTCTCCTGTCTCCCCGCTGCTCCCCTCAGCAGTGTGTTTCAGCCCATCTGCCTTTCTGCCCCTCACTCTGTCTCTGGGGAACTCCCCCCTGCCCCCCACCCAGGCCAGAACCCCAGTTCTAGTATGTGCAAATAAATCCTTAAAAAAAAAAAAAAAAAAGAGGTCCCTCTGGTCTGGCACCTGTGCTCCAGCCCTCACGTCCACCCACCATGCACAGGCCCTTTATATCTGGTCCTGCTCCACCCTGCCGAGATCAGCACCAGCTTCCCTAAAATTGAGGGTTGGGATGGTGTGAAGTTTAAGGTCTAAGGGACTGCAGGGTGTGTTTAATGAGCGTGATGAGGGATCCTATGCTGGAGAAAACAGGTACCCTGACTGCGTGCAGGGGCCCTCCCCGCAGAAAGCCGTTGGGCACCACAAGACCTCCAGCCCCTGGCTCTGTCTTCAATTCCTAGTTCCTCCACTCAGGGACCACCCACACTCTCACGACTTCCTGTTCGTGGGGTTATGGCACAGGACAGAGGTTGCACAGTAAAGAGGACTCAAGAGACAGCAGTCCCCAGCTGATTCTCAGTTCCAACCCTTTGTCCATGCTCGATCCCCACCCCCACTGGGGGCAGTGGGCAACAAGTCAGTCCCGGTCCTGGGCATTAAAGAAGGCGTCCGAGCTAACAGACATGTCAGGGTGGGCAGTGCCTCTATGGGGGACCAGAGCGAGGATGTGCTAAGACAGCAGCAACAGAACATGCAAAGGTCCGAGGGCAGGGCCGTGCCTAACGCGTTAAGGGCAGAGAGGAGACCTGTGTGCTGGAGTGGAATGAGCAAGGGAGAGAGGGAGGCGAGAGTGATGAGGGGACAGGACACACGTCAGCAAGCAGTTCAGGGAAGCATTTTAAGCCGTGAAGGGGCATGGCCAGGCTTCGACATTAAAATCTACTCTGCTGCTGAAGGGACAGTCATGGTGTGAGAAAGAGATCATGGAAGAAATTGGGCAAGTGGGCAGGTGAAACTCAGGGACAGAAAGAGGGAACAGAACTGCACGCGAGGCAGTGAGCAGGCAGGACTTGAGTGGGCTGAAGGTCTTGCCTGGGTGCTCCCCAGGCCTTCCGTTGGTAGGGCACGCCCCAACCTGCCCAGTGGGTCAGACCCCCTGCCTCTGGAGCCGGGACACAGGACACAGCATGCCACAGACACCATCCAGGTTCTGGACTAGACATCCAGGGCCTGGACTAGACTAGGAGATGCCACAGTGCCCACTCCTCCGTGGCATTTTCTGGCCTCTGCCACTAGTGTCCAGGCTAGCCTCAACCCCCTTCCTGTGTAACACCACATCCGCTCACAATGGCCTCCATCCATCAGGCCTCTCTTACCACCAGGCCTCTGCCTAGAACATCCCCACCTCTCGCTTACCGCAACTCGGCTCTCTGGTCTAGAGAATTCCTCCTCTAGGAAACTTCCAGGCTCCATCTCCCACAAACTCAGTAAGGGGCTCCTGGTACTAACAGCTGCCCTCGGGAACCCTGCACACCCCATCAGAGCACAAATCACCCAGCACCATCTTATCACCTCTAGTGCAACTTCCTGACAGCATGTCAGGGCCTCCAGAACCTTGTGTGCCGCCGGGCACTGCAGCCAGGGATCAGAGGCTGGGTGAGGGGCAAATGGGCGTCAGGCTTGGGAAACTAGAGGTGGGTGCTAAGCCAGCAGCTCCCAACCAGGATCAGTGCCCATCACCTCTAGGGGGCATGTGGCACCCAGGAATGTACCTCAGCACAACACGGAGAAGCACTGGCTGCAGAAAGCTGGGGCCTCGGGACAGCACTGCGCCGAGTCAGTGTCCTTCCTCCCCCTGCCCATGAGTCTCATGATGCCTCGCCTCTTCCCCATACCCTGACAGGGAGATCCGGGCCTCCTGGGCTGGCCTCTGGCCAGTGACGCCCTCAACACCCTCAGACTTTAAGACACCCTAAGCTGCGGTGGCGGCTGCCCCAGGGTGCCAGCACCCTGCCCCAGGGAGATGCCCCTGCCCCAGGATGCCAGCACCACCCCTGCTGAGAAGGGGGGGATGGCTGCTCTGGCTCCTCATGCTATGAGGGGGTGCTGGGGTGCAGACCCCTGCACCTCCATGCAGGGGTGCAGGGTGCGATGCCGGAGGAGGGGTCAGAGTCAGGAAGCTGGCCCAGGCTCCTCGCTCAGGAGGCTGCGTGGCCTCGGACAGCCTCATAACCTTCCTGCGAGCGGCTCCTGACCCACCACTGATGCAACCGTCTGTCTCCAACAGGCCTCCAGTTCCCAGCCTGTGGCCCACTCTCCCCCCTCCCCCGCACAGCACTACAGATTTATGCCTCCTGTCCGCCCAGCTTGGTCTCCATCCAGCACCAGCCATTGGCTCTTCCAGAGTAACAGACCAAAGGGGTGGGCTCACTTAGTCTGGGGGTCGTGGCCAGGGTGAAGGGAAGGGAAGCTGTCTGAGACAGATCTTCCTGAAACGGCCCTTGGGCAACACCAGTGCTGCAAGTACGTCGGGAGGCCCCGGCCCGGCCCGGCCCAGGCGGAGGGGCGGGCACGCAGAACGCTGCTCCTGAGCAGGGGCAGACAGACTGCTCGGAGTCTCCAGGAAGCCAGGCAAGGCCTGGGGGTGCCCTAGAGAAGGGCAGTCCAGGGGAGCACCCCCTTCCATGCTCTGGGATGGGGAAAGGGACTGAAGTGGGAGCAAAGGCAGGGCAGGTCGGCCTCTTTGTTCTGAACGCCAGAATTCCTGGTGTAGACAGGGGAGAGACTCCCGGAGAATCAGGTGACCGGGTCCCTGGGGGCTCAGGGCAAAGTGATGCATTATGGGATGTGATTGCATGCCCCCCCCCCAGAAGGAAGCAGGCAGTCTGTGCCTGGGAGGGGAGCCACTGGTCAGAGTTCAAAGTCACCTCCAGTCCTGGGTGCCCCCCCAAGCCCGCCTTACTGCTTCCCAGGGGAAACTCAGCCTCCCAGTTACAAAGATCACGCTCAAGTATCTGGACCGTCAGCTTGACCTTTAGAACCAGCCAAACAACCAGATCTTAAGCCCCCAAGCCTGCTGGAGGACCCCTGGGGTAGGGGGCTGGGGATGGGTTCTGGAGAGGTTGAGGAGGGGAGAAAGAGGGAGACAAGCCCAGGAAGAGGCAGAGGGCATCCAGTATGCCACTGCGAGCTCGTAACAGATGCTGCTGGGTCACACTACCCCACCCCCAAGAGAAAAGCACAGTGCCAGAGAGTTCAGTGACAGGCAGGGCCTTAGGCAACGTTGGGTCATCAGCAACTTCTTCCTGCACGTCCCCAGAACTGTAACTGTTCCTGTCCAAGCTCACAGAGCCCAGGGGCTGTGGGGGTGCACCATCCACCCACTTTTCCCTGCCAGATGCCAGAGCGGGGTAAAGTGGGATGGCTGGCACTAGGCTGGAGCTGGAGTCTGCGCAGAGGAACAGGGTCTCCACGGCAAGTGACACAGGGTACCGTGTCAGCAGGGTGGGAGGGAGGACCCTGGGGCCAAGAACCCAGCAGGCAGTGTGGGTTCTACAGCTGTGGGGGGGCTGCAGGGGAGAGGAGGCTAGTTCACAACAGGGGCCACAGTTCTGGCACAGGCTCGGAGCGCCACGAGGCCCCAAGGGGTGCCAGAACGTCAGCTCCAGAGGTCTGGGGGCTTGGTCTGCTCCCTGCCCTGCCCCAGGATGGCCGCCCAGTATCAGTGAGTACAGGGTAGAGATGCAGGAGGGAGGAAGAAGAGACAAGAAGGGTCTCCAGAAACATTCCATGACCTGATACGACCCAAGTCAACAGAGGCCAGAGCGCTCCCCCCAGGAAGTTGATACCCATCCCCGGTCAGCACCATCGAGGCTGCCGGGGAGGGCCTGGGGGGGGCCTGTGCATAGCTGGAACTCAAGGAACGGAGGGACAGACTGAGCTGAGAGCAACCTGGGAACCCTGGCATTACTTCCTCCAGCCCGAATGTCCCACCTCCAGGGGTGGTCATCCAGTAACACCTGGTTGGCCAGCCAGCCCAGCCTGACTAAGCCATTGACCAAGGTTCTTCCCAAAAGCCACCTACCAGTAAATAAGCCTTTTGGGAGGAATGAGAAAGGTCAGAGTCAAACTTCTAGACCCTTTGCCACGGGAGTGGGAACACAGGGCCATCCTCTCAAGTGCCCGTGTCGCCTGCTTCCCGACGGTGCAGCCTGGCGGAGTCAGCCTGTGGCGAGATCCATGTGGCCAGAACTGGGGTCCTTTGCCAACAACAGCCAGCAAGGAGCTGACGCCCACCAGCGATTACATAAGCCCCCCACTCCAAGCTCTACTGCAGTGGGCAACCAGCTGGCCACCAACTTGGCTGTGACTTCCTGAGCGAGTTCAGAGCCAGAAACACCCAGAGAGGCTCACACCTTGGAAACTGAAAACGAACATCTGCTTTGCGCTGCTGGGCTTGGGGGTAATTTGTTACAGAGCAACAAACCACTAATATAAAAACCCAAAGGTGGTCCTTTGTGATTCCTGAGGGACAGGCCCCTGCCACCCCTTGGCCCCTGGGGTTGCCCAGAAAACAAGCAGGGTAGGGTTCCGCTGGCCTCAGACACTGCGAGAACCCAGGTGGGGGAGGCAGGGAACTCACCCAGCTCCGTCGGCTTCAGCAACTCATCCAGCATATTGAAGAAGGGCAGTTTCACCAGGCGGACTTCTGGCTTGAGGGTCTTGGTGGGCAACCGTCCGAGTCCATTTAAGTACTTCCCGTAAAGGACAGGGTAGTCAATATTGGGGCCTGTGAGGGGAGTCCTGGGTACTGTGCCAGCCCGGTCGTACGTTGAGTGCATGGTCAGGGGGTCCAGGGGCCGGTGGGGCTGAGGGACGGGCTCTGAGTTCTTCTTGGCGTAGCGTGTCTCGTAGAGCTCCTTGATCTTCTTGAACAGCTCAGGGCTACAGTCAAACTGGACCAGCTGCAGGGCCCGGGTGACAAGTTCGTGCTTAAGTCCACTCTTACTCCGACCAACGAAACCCAGGAGCATCTGAAGATCGGAGACTCGGAAACTCATCACCATGTTCTGGAGAAGAGCAACCACAGACACACCCGCTAGAGGAAGCAGTCAGAGTTAGGGGCAGCCCGAGGTGTGAGGCTTCCCTGCTGCCGTCTGGGCCCTGACTGGGTGCGAGGCAAGTGCGAGCTGGTCAGCACCACCCGGCCAGCCTAGCGGCCGGGCCCTCTTCACTTCTGGCGGCAGTTCCTGCCTCACCAGTGCCACCTCCCTGCGTCTGATCTGGCTGCAGGCTTACCCTTCCCCGCGAGATCCCCTCCTGGCGCAGTCCCGCGCCTTCCTCCTCCTCCAGCCTTCTTCGGCACTGCCAACGCAGCAAAAACTCCTGACTACCCCACTGTCTTCTATTTTAGGTTCTCTTCTCCAGTCTTCAAGCCTGAAAGCTGCCCCAGAGCAGGAACTAGGAATCTTGCTTTATCCATAACAGCTTCTGCTACTCCCCAGCTAGCAAACCCTGACAGCCTCTCTGCCCCTCCAGCTCTTCCTCTGGGAAGTGACAGGCCCCACCTACTCCGACATGGGCAGGGCCAGGGAAGGCAATGCCCCTAAAGCAGAGCGAGCACCCTACGGGCAGCAGCCACAAACACCTTCGCCCTGCGGTCTCGTGGCCACAACTGACCTACACGACCTACCAGCCGGGAGCTAAGCTAGACATGTGCTTCCACGCGTCCCTCCGACCCTCACAACAGCCCTGCCAGGTTGGCATGAAGTCCACTTCAGTCGTGATTCAAACCCAGGCCTGCCCCTGAAGCAGGCAGTGCTGAGTCTGCTATACCACTGCCAGGAGCGACCCCTAAGTGAGCACACTGCTGCTCATTCAATCTGGCTCGCTCCCCCCACACACTGCAGGGGAAAGGGCTGGGTCATGCTGTGGGAGCCTGTCCCGAGCACCGCAGGATGTCCAGCAGCGCTCCTGGCCAACCTCCAAACCTCAGCTGTGACCACCACAAATGTCCCTAAGACACCACCCAGTGCTCCCTTGGGGCGGGATCAACTCCAGCTGAGAACCACGCTCCGAGGTGGCAGCACTGGGGCTCCTCGGCACTAGGGGTCGGGATGGCACCGCGGGAATGTGAGGAGGTCTGACAGGGCCTGGCACTGGGTACCTGCCGGGGTCCTGCCAGCAAAATCAAATAGGACAGCTCAGTTGGTGCCAGTGTTTCCGTTAGGGGTGTCTGATGGTGTAACCTGATCTCCATGAGACTCTGCGACGCCAAGGGAAGAGAGGGAACCCCAAAATACTTCATAAGCTAATTGTTCTTGAGGGTTTTGGGGCTATACTGAGCCCTGAAGCTGGCCTGCGATGAATGAAATGTTGTGAGAAAAAGAAACTTCCAGGGAAAATGGGGTGAAAAATTTGTGTACAAGTAATGAGAGTGATTATGGAAAGCTGGCGAGGACAGCACCCAAAGAAGCCAATTAATCACTTAAACTCAACTTGAAAGAGCCTGCGACCTCAGGAGAGCGGAAGCCCTGCTCGGTGTTTACACACGGACCTCCGTGCCAGCAGGCGCTCTGCTCCCAGGCCTCTGGCTGCTTGAGGAGGAGGTTTGGAGTCTGACAGTGGCCCTCAGGGCTCCCAGCCCTGTGTCCAAGACCAGACTCTGCTCGGGTCCCCAGAAGACCCGGGGTCTGTTGTCTGGCCTCTCTGACCTTTGAGCTCATCATCCACTGGCACAAGATGGGAAAATCTGAGATTCCTTTTAACTGGGCAGTGCCAAGATCCTAGAGAAGGATCTGTGCTCGGTCCAAGCACGGCATGACAGAGACAAATGCACAGGGCTGCCCAGTCCTGCCTGCACAACTTCAGGGGGGCCTTCGCCTGCTCCTGCGAGCAGCTGTGGCGCGCCTGCCACATGCACAGCGCCACAGGCCCCTCACCAGGGCTGCTCTCACCAGCCCACGCCCATGGTGCAGCCGGGGAAGCGGAGGCTCTGTGAGGGGCGCAGCTGGCCCAAGGCACCCCTGCACAAAGGCAGCAGAGCTGGCATTTTCACCAGGGCTAGCAGGGAACTAGGGGCATTTTATTACATCATACCTGTCGCGGGGGACCTCTCTCCCTAACACACCCCATGCTCAGGGAACTAAGGGGTCGGATGGCAATGCAGAGTCCGCAACACTCTAAGAACACAGAAGCTTCACCTCCCTCAGCCTCCTACCTAGAGCAGAGAAAAAAGGTTTGCAGACGAGATGCTTCTTCTGGAAGAGGCCCAAGGACTCAAGGGGAGACGCGATGTCATGTGGAAGCTGAGCATCCACTGTGGAGCTGAGGCAGACGAGCGCAGCTCCTCTGACCACAACAGCTGTCTGACATCACCTCACCCCCGGAAGCCCCCGATCCCACCGAGGCCTAGCCCTTCTACCAGGTGGGCCAGCCCAAGCTGCCACACAAGCACACCCCTCAAGTTACCACACGTTTACAACTCAGATTTGTCAGCAGCTGCCACTAAAGAGATTGTCCTTGACAGTAGGCAGGGGTGGGTGGGGCCACTGAGGGAGCCACAGACACACAGGAAGAAGCCCCAAGCACAGGGCACTGCCATCACTTCCTGCCCTGCTGTATCCTAACCTGCTTATTTATAAACAGCACCTGCCAGTCTTAACCTGGGCTTGGCTTGGAGTGGTGTGAGAAACATCAGCTTGGACAGAGCAGCAGCAGCAGCAGCAACGGCTCCTCTGAGCACTGGAGACCAGAGCCCCCCTTTCCAGAACTCGAGGTCTATGCAAAATAGTACCTGCCATCTCACAGGGGTCACAGACTGCTCCCCAAGCCTTCTCAGGGTCTCAGGTTAAGAGTCTCGGATTTCCCCATTTACCAACAGACAAGACCACAGATTCGGCCTTCAGACCAGTCCACTTTGCACCCCAAAAGACAAACCCTCAAGCTCTTGATAGAGGCTGAGAAAACACATAAAAAAGGGGGTTCTCAATTGCACACAAAGCACGCTGAAGTGACAGCAAGAAAATGAAGGCGAAAGAAGGGTCCTTAGTGTGGGCGTTGTGCTACAGTCCCAAGCCCCCTGAATGGAGCCTCACATTTAGGGAACTTGTACAAAGAGTAGACTTAATTGGGGTGGGGGCACCCAACCACCACAGGGTCAAAAAGAGTTCATCAGATCATATTTCAAGGCCCTGAATTGTATAAGAGTGCCCTCCCCTCTGCTCAGACTGGGGTGGGGGCGGGACCCAGGACTGCAGCCCCACAGAGGAGGTTAAATTTCAGGGCTCCAAGGGACTGAGACCTGTCCTGAAGCCTGCAGAGCTCAGACCTGCACATCTCCAGGGCAAGTGTCAATTTATCAAAACCCTAGAGTGTGTGTAGTGTAGGTAAGGGGGGGGGCTGAGAGGAGCAAGGAGGCAGAAGGTCTGGTGAAGGCAGGGCAATAATACTACATGGTCACAGAACCCTGAAGGCAGCATCTCAGATCCCTGCAGGAAGGGAAGGGAGTACTGGGGGGTTGGGTGGCGGGGAACATTTACAGATCAGGACCTTTGTGAGGGGAGACCACCACCTCCTTGAGAGCAGCAGCCTGAGTGAACTTCGAAGTAATAACAGGTATACAATATGGAACTGAACCCCAAACTGGAACTTGGCGAGAGGAACCAGGAGCTATCCCAAATAAAGAAGCCTATGCTGGAATCAGTAGGGAACCCTCCATCGATGAATGCAAAGGATTGGCAGAAAAAGAGGAGGGGCTCAAAAATCGTAACAGAGAGGCATATACTGATCTAAAGCAGAGGATCCGGAGGTTATGGTGGGAAGCCCAGATTATAGGGGAGTCAGCTGGTATGGGATCTGATCCTGCCACGGTGGGTTCAGAGCCCCCAGGAAACCTCACAGGTCCTGCCCTGGGAAAAGGAGAAGGAAGAAGGCAAAGAAGTCAGGATCCAAGACTGAGATGAGAGTTAGCAAGAACTTCAGACCAAGAATGGGGGGGGGGGGCAGGGCCCCATCCCGAGGGGAGCGCAAGCAAGCTCGGTCGGTTAACAACGCCTACTTGCCTACTTCGGGGTGAGAGAGAGGGTGCCAAGAGGGGGGCGGGGTTCCGGGACCAACACGGTAACAGAACAGGGCTGGGTTCCAAACCGGAGTCTTGAGGTACAGATCACACTCCCACACACACACAGGACACACAGTATCGGGGGGGTGGGGGGGTTCATCATCCTGGACGGTGGAAGCGGTGGCAGAAAGGTCAGGGGTCCCTTCTGGGCTGTGTGTCGCCCACCCCGGCGTGGCCTGCGGGGTGGGGAGGCTGAGATCCAGACACCAGCCCTCTAAGCCATGGATGGCGAAGAGGTGCTGACACTCCCCCAGGCAGGAGTACTGACCTCCGCTCAAGACGAGCAGAGGACCGGCAGCCCAGCCCGTCGTGCTCTCCTGGGGTACAGTGTCTCAAGCTGGGAGGCGCGGCCCAGTCTCAGTGTTTCAGGAGAACCGGACCCTAACCGCTCCGGCTGGTGGAGAAGGAAGCCCCGCCTTAAGTCCGGGGGCTGATCCTAGCAACTAAGGCTGGGGTGAGGTTTGGGGGGCCCCGCCCCCGGCCTCCCCGCCCCCCCGCCCGCACCAGGAGCCCAGGGGACGGGGGCGGGCAGGGAGCCGGACGGCGAGACTTTGGCGGGCTGCGCCGCAGAGCCACCGGTTGATGGCGCAAACCTCGGCCCGCTCCCCGGCCCCAGCCCCCTCGCCCGACCGCGCGGGCCGGCGCCGCCACCGTTCACTCACTTTAGCCTCCACCAGCTCCGCCGCCATCTTGGCCACCAGCGTCCCCCGCGCCGGGAGCCCCCAGCCGTCGCGTCACGTGACCGTCCGCCACTCGCGGGCGGGGTCGCAACCGCGACCAATAAGCAGTCGCGCGCCCTCCTTCTTCCCTCCTCCCTCGCCTCGTTGCGCGCTGCGGCGCACTACGCAGGCGCGCGCGACCTCCGCCCGGGCCTCAGACCAATCAGAACGCCCAGACGCCGTCCCCTCCCGGACCATTCGCGGCGACCACGCCCACCCCGGGCAGCGTCCAGTTTCTTAAAGGGGCAAGAGCCCCCACACAGGTGAGGGCAGCTGCTGGATCTGGCCTTCAGTGCGGAAGAGGGAGGGAGTGGAGACGGCGATAACTATAATACAGCCAGGTGTCCTGGCCCCTGAGTGAGGCGGCTGCCAGGTGCGCGACACCGGATGCCCGGCGGCGTCAGGGGAGAAGACGGTTGCTCAGCCCAGCTGCCGCCTGTGCGTGAGGTGCAGTGCGGCGCCGCGCAGTCCAGCCTCCGGGGACTCGGCGCCCCGGCACTGCACATCCGGGTCCTCGAGCGACGGGGGCGTGCGGCCACTGCATTCACGGTCTGGCCCCGGCCTGAGAAGTCCTGGTTTTCTCCCTCCCAGATTCTCGGGGGCTCGTGTAGCCCACGTTCTTCCCAGCCCACATCCTGCCCCCGCTAGTCCCACTCCCTACCCGCAGGAAACCTTTGGAATCTGCGCTAACCGGAACTTCCCCCGCTCTAGAGCCCTCAGCGGCTCCCTAGTGCCCGCCGCAGACGGCTGAGTTCAGACGGGGCTAGAGAACAGGGCAGAATGAGCCGAGAGCTCATTGTGATTACACTCAGGAATCAAGACCAGCGTGTTACTGCAGGTTTTTTAAACGAAAAAGCCATGCCCCAACAGACCTCTCCTGTCCCACCCGCCGCTCCCCTCAGCAGTGTATTCTTCAGTCCACCTGTTTGTCTCTGGTGAATCCTCTCACACCCCCCGCCCCCAGCCCGGCCTGCATCCCAGTTGTGGTTTGCATAAATAATTTTAAAAATCTTTTTTAAAAAGTAAAAATTCATGCCCCCCCCCATTCATGCTCAACTTTTTCTGAAGACAATGCCACTCTACAATCATCTCACCCCAATTCATTCACATTAGGGTTGCAGGGTTTTGTGTTTTCTTTTATTGTAAAAGTAAGAGTTTATATACACTTCACACAGGTAATTTTTGTATTAGTATAATACTATCAACTCAGATGAAGACCTTATTTGGATTTCATCGTTTTTGCATGCTCTTTTTTGAGGAGGGGAGGAGAGTGTATAGTTCTATGATATTTGGTCTTGTGTACACACTTTTTTTTTAAAGCATCACATTTTGAAGGGTTTAAGGTGTGATTATTAAGGCTATGTTTTTAAAAGTAAATTAAAATACATATTTTATTTTTATTTGTGGAAGAAATGATACAGAATTTGCTTTGAAACTGGGTATCAACTCTTGGGAATAGACTCAAGTGGGATTGCTGGACTATAAGGCGATTGTATCCTTAATTAAAAAAAAAAGATTTATTTATTTATGCATACAGGAACTGGGATACAGGTCAGAGGTGGGTGGGGAGGGATGAGAGGATTCACTAGAGACAGAGTGAAGCAGAACAGGCAGATGTGCTGAGATACACTGCTGAGGGCAGCAGCCAGCAAGACAGGAGAGGTCTCCTTTGCCCTAGCCAGGAATCAAACTTGTGCTGTGGTGGCTGCGGATAGCTTCATGGTGCCATGCTTAACCCCCTGTACCACCAGGAAGCCCTGTATTTATAATTTTTTAAGAAGTCTCCATACAATTTAACACAGTGACTGCACCACTTTCTTATATGTATGTAGTTCATTTTGTGCATTTTCCCATCTCAGTTGTAATCCCCTTGGGTGACTGCACCATTTTACATTCCCACACTATGCACATGGGTTCCAGTTTCTCCACATCCTCACCATTTGTTCTTGTTACTTTATATTTCGTTGTTGTTGTTTTTAATTTTAAACATCTATTTTCATTTATTTATGTATACAAGAACTGGGGTATAAGCCAGAGATGCAGGAGTAAGAGGATTCATCAGAGACAGTGAGGCCTTTGTTGGTTTTTTATTTTAATTTATTGATTTATTTTTAAAGGTTTGTTTATTTAGGCCTACAAGAACTGGGGTATAGGCCAGAATTGCACAGAGGGGGTGGGAGAGAGGATTCACCAGAGACAGAACTGGTGGATTAACTAAAATCCACTGCTGAGGGGAGCGAGGAGGAGACAGGAAAGGTTTGCTGTGCCTTGTGGGTCAGCTCCCTGGCCGGGGATGGAACTCGTGCTGCAGGGGCTCCCAAAAGCTTCATAGTGCTGAGACTTAATCCTTTGTGCCACCAGGGAGGCCCCTTTTTTGTGTTTTTAAATGATAGTTATCTTAATGTGTTTTGTTTTAAGACTTATTTTATTGATTTATGGATTCAAGAACAGGGGTCTAGGCCAGAAATTGGGGGTTGGGGCAGAGTGGTGAAAGGATTCACCCTCAGAGACAGAATAAGGAGCAGAACTGGTGGACTGACTGAAGTACATGCAGAGGGGAGCAGCTGGTGAGACAGGACAGCCTGCTGCGCCATGTCAGCTTCCTTTTCTCTGACCAGGGATCAAATTAATGCTCCTGATGTAACTCCCACCTGGGAGGACCCCTTACTAGGGTTTGATTTGCATCCCCTAGTGTATAGGATTACCAATTTTTTATGTTTATTGGCCATTTTTATATCTTCTTTGGGAAAATGTCTAAGTTTCATGCTAGTTTTTTAAAATAGACTTGTTTGGTTTTTTTTGCTACGAAGTTGTAGGAGTTCTTTATATATTCTGGATAATGATCCTTTATCAGATATATGACTTATTTTCTCGTGCTCCGTTTGTTTCCTGACTTAATACAATGTCAGTAGTACCAGAATCTGCAGATTCAATGCAATTACTTATTAAAATCTCAACTTTTTTGCAGAGATAGAAAAATCTCTCCTAAAATTCATATGGCGTCTTAAGGGGCCCCGAGTAGCTAATTCAATCTTGAAACAGAAAAATCTTAAAGACACACCTTTCTCAATTTCAATTTTTGCTATAAGGCTGTATCATTAAAACACTCTGTTGCTGGCATCAGCATAGGCATATAGACCAATAGCATAGAATTGAGGGTAACGTTGACATTGTGTATGTTTTTTTTTAAAAGATTTATTACTTATTCATACAGAACTGGGGTACAGGCCAGAGATGCGGAGGGTGAGAGGATTCACCAGAGACAGAGCGGGGAGCAGAACAGGCAGCCTGGTGAAGTCCACTGCTGAGGGGAGCAGTGGGCGGGTTAGGAGAGATCTGCCGCGCCATGTGGTCACCTCCGGGGCAGGCGGGAATCGAAAGTGGCTTCAGTTTCTTAGTGTTGTGCTTTAACCCGCTGTGCCACCAGGGAGGGCCTGACATTGTGTATGTTTTACCACAAGTTTTGAACGATGTGAGAAAGGAGAAAAAAATCCATCCTTGGCTGCTAAGAAAACACATGTTAAATAGAAGCAGAACCTAGCCCCCTCGCCCCCCAACACTTTGCTCCCCAAATTGATGTGTTCATTCATTCTACCAGTTACAGGGAGTAGTATTTATTTTTTAAAGGGGAGAAAGAAAAGTTGAGAACATTTTGAAAAGCCAGTGTGGGAAATGGCTGGGTTGATTGCCTTTCAGAAAAAAGAAGTCAATTAACCTGTGACCCAACAGGTCCACTTCCCATGGAGATAGTAGTAATGATGAGGATGGCGATACTGCTGCTAGTATTTAATGCCAGGTCCTGCTTAGCATGTGTTGTCACTTCATCCTTGTGCCAACTCTATGAAATAGATGCTGTTACTGGCTCCAGTTTGCAGATGGGAAAACTGGAGCCTTGGGTGCTTAAGTCACTTGCCAAGGTTACCTACAAGAACAGGAGCATGAAAAGGTTTGCACCAGATATCCACTGCAGCATTCTTTTTAATTGTGATTATCTGGAAATAACTTAAAGGCTCAAGAGTCCTGAGTCGGTTTGATGCATGATGTTCCTGTTTATATGGTGAAAGAGCATGGTTCTGGGATCTCTTATTCTGGGTTTAAACAAACTTCAGGACCTTTGTGCTGTGTGATCGTGGGCGGGTTAGTTAACTGCTTTCTCGAAACCTTACTTCTTCAGCCATTAGATGGGGCAGGGTGTGGAGGGAACAATGCTTTGTTACAGGTGCCACCCTGGTGGCCCAAGGGGTTAAATCACAGCACTTTGAAACTATCCCTGCAGCACGAGTTCGATCCCAGCCAGGGAGTGACCCACAGGGTGCAGCAGACCTCTCCTGTCTGACAGCCGCTCCTCTCAGCAATGTGTTTCAGTGCATCTACCTGTTCTGCTCCCCACTCTGTCTCTGGTGAGTCCTCCCACCCCCACACCTGTGACCTGTACCCCAGTTTTTGTATGCATAAATAATGTTTTTTTTTAAAGCTGCCAAACAAATGACCACAAAGTTAGTAGCTTAAAACAGCATTCAACATTTCTTATCTCACCCAGTTTCTGTGCGTCAGGAATTTGCAGGTAGCTTAACTGAGTGTTCTAACTTGGAGTCTCCTGAATGTTGTAGATAAGATTCTGGACAGAGCTGCTATCACCCAAAGGGTTAACTAGAATTGGATCTGTTTCCAGTGTGTTTCTATCATATGGCTGTTGACAGGAAGCCTCAGCTCCTTACCACAGAGTTGCTTGAGCTTCCTCCCACTGTGGCAATTGGCTGCCCCCCAAAAGATGATCCAGGAGGAGCAAGGAGGAAGTCATGATGTCTTCTCCAGCCAGCCTTGGAAGTCAGAATCCATGGATTGAGAAAGGACAAATCTCAAGGTCATCATGCTGAGTAGGGAATAAAACAATTACGAAAGTTCACATGCTTTATAATTCCCCTAGTAGATCATTCTTGATGACAAAATTATAGAGCTGGGACAGAGATTAGCAGGTTCCCAGGGCTAAGGCAGGTCTGTGGGTCATG